CTGGAGGCCAAGGCGCTGGGGGAGCACCAGCACGGATCTGGGGTAACGTTGGCCGCCCAGCTCCTCGTCTGCAAAGGGAAAAGCTGCTGGGCCACCACCCACAGGGGGTAAACCCCGCCGATGGCTGGGCCGAGGTGCCTCGTGGAGCAGCCTGAACGCCTCTATTCAAGCAGCCTCAACCAGCGCCACCACCCGTTCCCAGGCAGCCGTGTGACACACGTTTCACGTCCGTGTCCAGAGGCCACTGACTGTCCAGTGTCTGTGTGCTGTGAGCACACACGTGTCCACCGCTCAGAGCCCGGGAAGGACGGACGTACCTCGGTCAGACGCAGGTTCTCGGGCGGCACATGGACCCGCTGCGAGAGGGCGTCCAGCACTTCGCTCGCGCTCGAGTTCTCTTTGCTGACGCTCACCAGGAACTGCGGGGACAGAGCAGAGTCCGTGGGTCGCTGGCCCGGGCCTGGGGCGGCCGGAAGAGGAGCCTACGCCTCACCTTGATGGGCTTGCTGTGCGGCTCCCGGGCGAAAAAGAAGACGGGGAGGACCTTCTGCTTCTGGGGCAAGGGCACCGGCAGGTAGAGGAAGGGGTCAAAGGTGATGGAGACCTGGGGAGGCACAGGTGGCACTGGGTGGCCCACCAGAAGCGGAGGCAGCCCTCAGGGGCTCTCAGGGCCGCACAGCCAGCAAACCCTGAGCACTAGACAGACCAGGAGGGCCACCAGGAGACAACAGTCCCTCCTGGCACTCGAGCCCCTGCCCGGCCTGGTCACTCCATCAAGGGGCCCCTCCCTGGCTTCCTTTCAGCCCTCCCACACCCTGCCCTCCTCACGGCTGTCTTTGAGCCCAAACATCACCTTACCGCAGCCAGGAAGCCCACCCCGCCAGCCTCTGCAGCCCACCCCGGAGCCCACGGCCTCCCGTCAGCTTCTTGCCCAAACCTCGCCTGCAGCACCTAAGCCGCATGGCCTCTGACCTCAACTTGACAGGACTAGCGAGGCCGGGCGAGGGGGCCGGGAGAGCACCGCACCTTGGCGCACACGGGGCACACCAGCTTCGACTTGTACTGGCCCTGGAACAGGTCCACGATGAAGGAGTCGTTCCGCATCTTGTGCCTCTGCCACGCCTCCTCAGCCACCACCTGGGAGCAGAGTGATGAGGCCGAGGCCGGGCGGGGATGTGCCCGGGGCCACGCCCCGCTGCTCCCGACCCTGACCTCATCGGGCCGCCCGTCCGAGTCCACGGTCTCCGTGTAGGGCTTGTTCTGAATGCGGTTCAGGTCCTCGTGCAGCCCATCCAGCAGGAAAGCCATGAACTCCTGGGCGTCGTGCTGGGCGTAGCCCGTGAACTGGCTGGCCTTGCTGGCGACAATGGCCTGGAAGCAGGGGGAGGGCTGAGCACGGAGCCCCGGGCCCTGCCGTGCACCC